CCGCAGTGGGTGCAGTCCCAGAGGCGGATGCAACGCAAGGGATGTTTTTTGCAGCGCGCGTCAACCCAGCGTCGAATGATCCCCGACGAGCACGGGAAGAAGCGGTGGCAACGGCTGCGAAGCTGTTGCGGGAGATCCTACGTGCCCGCGGATCCGGAGGACCCTAATATACCGGTGGGGGGCAAAGCTTTGTCGAGAAGGCGCGGTTGAAGTTCAACCGCGCCGTTCTCGACCAAAGCTGCCCCCCACGGTATATTAGGGTCCTCCGGATCCGCGGGCACAGTAGGGATCTCCCGCAACAGCTTCGCAACCGTTGCCACCGCTTCTTCCCGTGCTCGTCGGGGATCATTCGACGCTGGGTTGACGCGCGCTGCAACACAAAAACATATCTTGCGTTGTATCCGCCTCTGGGACTGCACCCACTGCGGCACCATCCTGCACTGGCTTGTTGAGGTTGCTGGCTGTTGCTGCGCCGGCGGTCGTTTCAGCGCCTGCCCCGGGCTCGTTTCTGCACGAATGGCCACAAATCATGGACGAACTATGTGTGGGCTCTGTCGCGCTCGTTCTATACGACTCGCAAAAAGTTTTTTCTGCTTCCCCCAGCGCCTCGTTCGCCTCACCCGCGTCCTCTCGGTGGCCCATGCGCCCCCCTTCTGCTGACGGTTCCCGACAGGAGCGCCATGCAAAGACGGAGACGCACCATGTACACCATCTTCCGCCCTCGATGGCGCGCGCGTTGATGTCGACTCTCTATCGACGCGGCCCACAGCCATCTCGCTGTCGAGCGACGTTTTGGCAGCACCGTCGTGGTCTACGGATTCTGCATGTCCACGGTTCGCTATACCCAGCTCGTGCGTAGCTTTTTCCGTGTCGGTCGTTGCTGACGACATTGGGGGTCTGTCGCCCAACGACAGCGGCCCCTCCGTTGACGACGCCGCTTCCTGGGCGCCATCTGTCGGACCCGCATCCGTTCGGTGCCTGGAAAACACCACAAGGGCAATGTCTCTTTGATTCTTCGAACATTCTGCAAATTCCTTGAACTCAACCCGCACCACTACGTTGTCGTCGAACCTTACGACACCGACGCCAGGGCAGTCGAAGTAGGCGACATAATGAGCTGGTTGATGGGAGATCGAACACGGCGACAGGACATTTGCATTTTACGCCCACCCCTGCCCACCTCCCCCTGCCAACCAAATATCTTTCATTTCGCCCCGCTCCTCCTTGATGAGACACCTCTGAGCTAGATCTCCGCGCCTGCACTTGACAGTAATATCGAGATCACGACAACGTATCTATCATGGCCTGATCGTGACGACTACTGTTATTCGCAACTATGGAGCCACCCGCGTCCGCCAACCCCCGGCAACAAACATATACAACATAATGTGTCCCCCCAAACCAAAGGCATGAAACGTGTACTTGCATCTTAACGCACTGTCGAAATGAACTTCGGATACTCGGAAATTGGACCCGGGATGGGGATGCCATTGAATTCAGATCTCCGAGATACATGCACACGGGCAGGGATGATATTGGACAGACGCGCAATAACATCCCGATGCTAGCGTCTCGGGATTTGTTTTGGCGACAGGTCCGATTCGTCATACGCGGGTGGCCCCCCGAGTGGCGGACCTACCAAGTGCCTGCTGGAGTATCCTACTGCGTGGTGTCGATACTCTTGGTGCTGGACTGCCATACCAGCTGGGCACCCTGTCAGTGCCATAGCGCGCAGCGCAGCTGCCACTTCCAGGGCCTCTGCCAGCCCTTTATGGGCTTTGCTCTTCAGGTTGGATGGCAATGGGAGCCCAACCAAAACGCTGGCGTGATTGCTTGCCAATGCTGCTCTGAAAAACCTCCTGGGCAAGCCCCCAACCCAAAACTCAAGATCCATCTCAACTAATTCCGAGGGGAAAAGGCAAAATCTCGTTTAGCTGGGCGCCTTCCGGTTTGACACTGGCGTCTCGTAGTAATAAGCCGTGGTTCTTCTGAAGTGCCCACAACCCTCTGGGAGCCCAATGTGATCCCCCAGCCAGCTATTACAGCCCCTTCTTTTCCCTCCAGGGTGGGCCGTAATCCCTGCCCTAACACACGCCGCAACACGCCTTCTGTTGGGCTTGATTCTTCTCAAAAGCGCCTTGGGCGCTTTGATACCGTTTTGCACGTTGGGCTCGTGACGCTAAAAGCGATACAAAAACACGCCTAATAATGTTGGCGTGTCTTACCGTGTTCTTGGCCTTTTCAAGCCCGCCGCTGTGGATCTGTATTATTTCAACGTTGCTCGCTTTCTTGTCAAAGGCTACTCCAGACTTCGTAATAAAAGGGAGGGGGTCTCAACCCTCCCAGACGAAAAGTTTTAGGCCCCCCCCCGTGGGAGAACCCTCCAAAACATCGTCCCCAGACCCCCCCCAGGCCCTCCAAGATGCCCTGGAAGAGACCCCCCCCGAAATGAGACCCCCCTCCCTTTATTACGAAATCTGGAATACCCAAAAAGGGCCTTATCAAACGAGTTCCAGTGGGTCCCCCGCAGCCCTCGAATTCGGCACACCGCCCCAACAACTTGGTTCTTAAATATGCCCTGGGCGTTTCTCTCATACTGGTTTCGTGGTGGCGTGTTGGGAACACGCGTGCAGCGTCTTCAGATTCCAACAGCGCGGTTTAACACTGCTGTCTGCCACGTCCTCAGTTCCTTCTCCTTGCGTCCAGCCCTCCCTGCATTCTTGTTCTGACATGGTTGCTCTTCTTTGGACGTCGCTGCCGACTGGTCGCTGGGCCTCCGGGCGCGTTCCGCGCCGGTGTCAGACCGGTGTTTAGGACGTCGTGTTGGGTTCTCCCACGGGGGGGGGGGGTCTAAAACTTCTCGTCTGGGAGGGTTGAGACCCCCTCCCTTTATTACGAAATCTGGAGTACTCCTCGTCTTCACTGCCGTATTCGCTCCCGCTCTCCCGTTCCTGCTGTCCCCCCGTCCTCCCGCTCCGCGCGCAGAGCGCAGAGCTAATAAAAAGGCCCACACAGCGTCCTAGCACCGGTCTAACACCGGCGCGGAACACGCCCGGAGGCCCACCGACCAGAGCCTGTTTTTTTGGATTCAGCCAAGTTTACTTGCATGGCGTTCGCCCCCCTCCCCCCCCTCGCCCCTCTTCAAGCGAATACTAGCGTGCAAGTGCCTTTCGACTTGCGTGATTTCCGCGCCCCCCACCCCCCAGGCTTGCTTCAGGCTCAGCCCCCCCCCCCCGTCCATGCAAGCAAACTTGCCAGAGTCTAAAAAAACAGGCTCCCAGTCAGCAGCGAAAAACAGGCTCCCAGTCAGCAGCGACGTCCAAAGAAGAGCAACCATATCAGAACAAGAATGCAGGGAGGACTGGACGCAAGGAGAAGGAACTGAGGACGTGGTAGACAGCAATGCTAAACCGCGCGGTTGGAATCTGAAGACGCTGCACGCGTGTTCCCAACACGCCACCACGAAACCAGTATGAGAGAAACGCCCAGGGCATATTTAAGAACCAAGTTGTTGGGGCGGTGCGCCGAATTCGAGGGCTGCGGGGGACCCACTGGAACTCGTTTGATAAGGTCCTTTTTGGGTACTCCAGATTTCGTAATAAAGGGAGGGGGGTCTCATTTCGGGGGGGGTCTCTTCCAGGGCATCTTGGAGGGCCTGGGGGGGTCTGGGGACGATGTTTTGGAGGGTTCTCCCACGGGGGGGGCCTAAAACTTCTCGTCTGGGAGGGTTGAGACCCCTCCTTTTTAACGAAATCTGGAGTAGCGTTTGACATGAAAGCGAGCAACGTTGAAAAGAATACAGATCCACAGCGGCGGGCGAAAAAGCCAAGACACGTTAAGAAACGCCAAACACTAGTAGGCGTGTGTTGGTATCGCTTTAGCGCGTACGAGCCCAAAGTACTCTTGTGGCCCTGATGGGGCTCTGTAGTGGGCCATGTAACTGGGTGCCCCTCTCGCAGCTCTACGGGAGACGGTCTGGCGGCCCGATGAGGGCTCTGTGGGAGCCTTGCGGCCAGAGCGGCGCCAAGCCACAGTGGTTCTGCTACTCAGATTTCGTAGTAAAAGGGAGGGGGTCTGGACCCTCCAAGACAAGCCATTTCAGACCCCCCTCCGTGGGAGAACCCTCCAAGACATCGTCCCCAGACCCCCCCAGGCCCTCCAAGATAGCCTGGGAGAGACCCCCCCCCCGGGGGGGACCCGAAATGAGACCCCCTCCCTTATTACGAATCTGTGAGTAGGCTTTCGCGATTTTGTTGAACGGTGGCTGGCGGTGCGCTTTGGGGTTTCCTCACGGGGGATCTGTGCCAAACAGCTACCTCGGCAATAACCATCGGCGTGTATGCCCACGTCTTGGGCCTCCGCAAGGTCAAGGACAAGGCGAGGTCGGCTCCAAAATAGCCACTCAAGGTGGGACGCGATGGTCCCACTGGGCTCGGATCTCCCCTCCAAAGGCCGATTTCCTCGAAACATTAAAACAGATTCAAAAAGAGCGAACATGGTCAACAATACTAGAACACATCTTCCCAATTATGTTTGACCATTTTTGGATGGCTCTGTAGAGGGACGTGCCCGAACCAACATGAGCATCCAAAAGGCCTCCAGATCTACTCGAACTCCTTTTGGAGGCCCAGTGTTAAGTCGGGCACGTCCCTCTACAGGAGGAGTATTCAGAAATAGTAAAAAATAGTCGGGGAAGATGTTTCTAATAGTTGTTTGATCAGTTTTGCTTATTTTGAACATTTCACATGTTTCGTTGAACATCGGCTGTAGGGGGACATGCCCGACCTAAGCTCCATGACCACCTCGGGCCAAGGTGGAAGGGCTCCCCAGGCTGGCTTCGAGAGGCCACCAGCTTCGAAGCACGGACGGTCTTACTGATTTTTTCCTCGATTGCAAAAGCGTCCTGCGATGGACAGTTCCTGATATCGAAGTCAGTCAGCCTCGCTGCTCATAAACTACTGCGCAACTGAAACAACAAGAACACCTGCTGGAAAACAAGCTTAAGCGTATGTTGCCTCTGCAGTCGAGACCGGTCGGTAGCCACTGCCAGTCCGAAGCGTTTGCAGATCCTGTAGATTCACAAGTTCCACGCACCCAGCCTCTGGCGTGCTCGCGTTGCTGTGGTCGTCCTCGCCTAGAAGACCTCCGACAGCAAACCCAGCTCGGCCTAAATGCTTGACGTACACGTTCAAGTACGACGTGCCGCCGTCCGTATGCCCGCGAACGACCTTCAGCTCTATCTTACCAAAAATAACCCACTTAGGAACCTCAACCTCGCTCTGCGATGCGCTGTAATGAAAACCTCCGACTTGTTCTGCCTCTGCCCAAGATCCGGTCACGTTCAAATCTTGGAAATATAGATCCGTGCACTGTTTACCCAATCGGCGTGCATCGGCCTGCACGCGAAGCAATGCTTTTTCAGCGCGCTCTCCACGAGGGATGTTGATAAGAACATGGTTGCCTGGCGCCATCAAATCAAAACGCTCGCCGTATACATTCTTCATATGGGGATCGCCAACGGCCGAACTCGTCGCCACCGTCCCTGGGAAAGACGAGGACGGACTGGAGGTCGGGCTGCTCGTCGGACTTGACGTCGGGCCCGGGGACGCGGTTGGACTAGAGGTCGGGCTGCTCGTCGGGCTCTCGTCGGGGCCCGCAGTCGCGAAGGCGTCGGACTGGACGTGGGGGACGAGGTTTCGGACTGGGAGGTCGGGTGCTCGGAGGAACTGGCGTCGGGGACGCGAGGTCGGACTGGAGGTAGGGCTGCTCTCGGACTGCTCGTCGGGGCCGCAGTCGGCGAAGGCGTCGGACTGGACGTCGGGGACGAGGTCGGACTGGAGGTCGGGCTGCTCGTCGGACTGGACGTTGGGGACGCGGTCGGACTGGAGGTCGGGCTGCTCGTCGGACTGCTCGTCGGGGCCGCAGTCGGCGAAGGCGTCGGACTGGACGTCGGGGACGAGGTCGGACTGGAGGTCGGGCTGCTCGTCGGACTAGACGTCGGGGACGCGGTCGGACTGGAGGTCGGGCTGCTCGTCGGACTGGACGTCGGGGACGCGGTCGGACTGGAGGTCGGGCTGCTTGTCGGGCTGCTCGTCGGACTGGGCGTCGGGGACGAGGTCGGGCTGCTCGTCGGGGCCGTCGTGGGTGCTGCAGTAGGACACTGGAACACCAGCGACGGTCTGGTGCTCTCGTCGAGGGCTTCGCGAGACCAAGAACTACTGCCCCCCCCGCCCACATCCATTCTGCAACCAACGCAAACGAGATGGTGTTCTTACCGGCGAGTTTCGCCTGTGGAACGGTGCATGCGAACGCCTGCCCGACTGGGCCTGGGTATGCCTGATAATCGCAAACCTGCTCCTGCCAGCCAGGGTGGTTGGACCAAATAGTGGTGCTTTCCGACCACGCGTTCTGCACCGTGAAGACGGCCACCTTTGGAAAGGTACCAGCAGCATAGTCAGTCGGCCACAGCAGGAGCGTTGCATCCTGAGCATCGCAAGGAACGCTGAATTGCAGGAACGAGTATCGAGTGCCGCACCAGCCGTCGGAGTAGCGCTTGTTGACCAAAACCTGCTGGGTACCATAATTCGTTGACTGGCAGGACTGAACATAGGTATCCGCGAGTGGCCGCTCGACGGTTGTAGCCTGAGTCGGGCTTGCAGCCATCTGCATCAGGCAGGAGTCGAAGTCCTTTCCGTTTGCCCCTGAGACTGCCAAAAACGCGGTGGCGAGTTTCACTAGCATGCTCATCAACCCGATCCGAACTTGTACGAAATGAGGTCTGAAGGTATCAAGCTGTGTGTATAGTTTTCGGCATTTGCCTTGGACCGCAAACTTGATCCGAAAATGCCTTGAGCCAAAGTGGCTGCGGACAGAAGATCTCACTGATTTGGGTTGTGTCGTTTTCCCGCTTTCGATGGGTCCTTACGGCCGCAAGATCGCCCCAGAGTGAAGTCGGGCATGTCCCCATACAGGCGGATCTTGGGCGACACATTAAACATTCTCAAAAAATACTCCCAACATGTTTCAAACAGTACTGTGTTAAAACATGTCCCCTGACTTGTTTGACTATCATTGAACAGCCCCCCTGTAAGGGACAGTCCCCGACTCTAATCCAAGGAAGGTACCAAAAGGGCCAGAACGGAAGAGGGGTGGGTGACCGCGCGTTCTATCTGACGGTGCAGGTCCTCCGCATAGTCGGGTCGGGCGAAAGGGGGGGATAGCAAAGGGGGGGGGGGAGAATCAGCTCGCGTAGCTGAATTTCCTGGCCGCTCCCGCGCCGGGAGGCGCCCATGTATCGAGGAATGGGCCCCTCGGTGGGGCCGAAACCAGCTGCACGCAGCAAATTTCGTAACCCCCCCTTTCCCAATCCCCCCCTTTCGCCCGGCCCGAATAGGGTGCGGACCGAGGTTTCGAAAGGGGTTGGAGCGTCCAAGACAGACCCAAAGGGCTCCGAGGCGGGTCCGGGGCAGGATGCCCTCCAACATCCGCCGACCCTTCGGCTTGCGCGACACGCTTTTCAGCCTGCGCCGTCGTCGTCGTCGTCGCCAGTTCCCTCTTGTTCAATAGCACAAACAAGCGGCGCGCGTCGCATACGGTTCACCTGCGCATCGCTCTGCTTCGCATACGGTCGCTGCCGACTGGTCGCTGGGCCTCCGGGCGCGTTCCGCGCCGGTGTCAGACCGGTGTTTAGGACGTCGTGTTGGGTTCTCCCACGGGGGGGGGGGGTCTAAAACTTCTCGTCTGGGAGGGTTGAGACCCCCTCCCTTTATTACGAAATCTGGAGTACTCCTCGTCTTCACTGCCGTATTCGCTCCCGCTCTCCCGTTCCTGCTGTCCCCCCGTCCTCCCGCTCCGCGCGCAGAGCGCAGAGCTAATAAAAAGGCCCACACAGCGTCCTAGCACCGGTCTAACACCGGCGCGGAACACGCCCGGAGGCCCACCGACCAGAGCCTGTTTTTTTGGATTCAGCCAAGTTTACTTGCATGGCGTTCGCCCCCCGCCCCCCCCGCGCCCCTTTCAAAGCGAATCAATAGCGATGCAAGTGCCTTTCGACTTGCGTGATTTCCGCGCCCCCACCCCCCCCCAGGTTGCTTCAGGCCAGCCCCCCCCGTCCATGCAAGTAAACTTGCCAGAGTCTAGAAAAACAGGCTCCCAGTCAGCAGCGAAAAACAGGCTCCCAGTCAGCAGCGACGTCCAAAGAAGAGCAACCATATCAGAACAAGAATGCAGGGAGGACTGGAAGCAAGGAGAAGGAACTGAGGACGTGGTAGACAGCAATGCTAAACCGCGCGGTTGGAATCTGAAGACGCTGCACGCGTGTTCCCAACACGCCACCACGAAACCAGTATGAGAGAAACGCCCAGGGCATATTTAAGAACCAAGTTGTTGGGGCGGTGCGCCGAATTCGAGGGCTGCGGGGGACCCACTGGAACTCGTTTGATAAGGCCTTTTTTGGGTACTCCAGATTTCGTAATAAAGGGAGGGGGGTCTCATTTCGGGGGGGGTCTCTTCCAGGGCATCTTGGAGGGCCTGGGGGGGTCTGGGGACGATGTTTTGGAGGGTTCTCCCACGGGGGGGGCCTAAAACTTCTCGTCTGGGAGGGTTGAGACCCCCTCCCTTTTATTACGAAATCTGGAGTAGCCTTTGACAAGAAAGCGAGCAACGTTGAAAGAATACAGATCCACAGCGGCGGGCTTGAAAAAGCCAAGAACACGGTAAGACACGCCAACACTATTAGGCGTGTTGTTGTATCGCTTTTAGCGCGTCACGAGCCCAAAGTACTCTTGTGGCCTTGCTGGGGCTCTGTCGGGGCCCCCTCTGGGGCCCTCTCGCCGCTCTCCGGGAGCCGGTCTGGAGCCCGATGAGCGCTCCTGTGGGCAGCCTTGCGGCCAGCGCGGCGCCAAGCACAGGTGGTTCTGCTACTCCAGATTTCGTAGTAAAAGGGAGGGGGTCTGGACCCTGCAAGACAAGCCATTTCAGACCCCCCCCCGTGAGAGAACCCTCCAAAACATCGTCCCCAGACCCCCCAGGCCCTCCAAGATAGCCTGGGAGAGACCCCCCCCCCAGAAATGAGACCCCCCTCCCTTTATTACGAAATCTGGAGTAGGCTTTCGCGATTTGTTGAACGGTGCTGGGGGCGCTTTGGGGGTCCTCACGGGGGCATCTGTGCCAAACCGCTCCTCGGCAATAACATCGGCGTGTATGCCCCCCTTCTTGGCCTCGGCAGGTCAAGACAAGGCGAGGCGGTCTCCAAAATAGCCACCAAGGTGGGACGCGATGGTCCCACTGGGCTCGGGCATCTCCCTCCACAGGCAGATTTTCCTCGAAACATTAAAACATATTCAAAAAGAGCGAACACTGGTCAACAAATACTAGGAACATCTTCCCCATATTATGTTTTGACCATTTTTGGATGGTCCTCCTGTAAAGGGACGTGCCCGACCCAACACTGCGCATCCAAAAGGCCTCCAGATCTACTCGAACTCCTTTTGGAGGCCCAGTGTTAAGTCGGGCACGTCCCTCTACAGGAGGAGTATTCAGAAATAGTAAAAAATAGTCAGGGGGAGATGTTTCTAATATTTGTTTGATCAGTTTGGGTTATTTTGAATATTTCACATGTGTCGTTGAACATCGGCTGTAGGGGGACATGCCCGACCTAAGCTCCATGACCACCTCGGGCTAAGGTGGAAGGGCTCCCCAGGCTGGCTTGGAGAGGCCACCAGCTTCGAAGCACGGAAGGTCTTACTGATTTTTTCCTCGATTGCAAAAGTGTCCTGCGATGAACAGTTCCTGATATCGAAGTCAGTCAGCCTCGCTGTTCATAAACTACTGCGCAACTGAAACAACAAGAACACTGACTGGAAAACAAAGCTTAAACGTATTTCCCTCTGCAATCGAGAACCGTCGGGAGCCACTGCGAACGTGTGCAGATAACGCCGATTCACCCAATTCCACGCCCCAAATCCCCGGGCTTGCTCGCGCGCTGTGGCAGTCTTCGCCTAGAAGACCTCCGACAGCAAAACCCAAGCCGACCGAAGCTGTGCCGTACACGTTCAAAATATTGACATGCCGCCCGTTCCGTGCTGCCCACGAGCGCCCTTCAGCTCTATCTTGCCCAAAGTACCACTTCAGGAAAACTGACCTTCTCTCTGCGATGCGCTGTATGAAAACCTCGACTTGTTCTCGCCTCTGCCAAGATCCGAGTCACGTTCAATGGGAAATATAGATCGTGCACGTTTACCCAATCGGCGTGCATCGGCCTGCACGCGAAGCAATGCTTTTTCAGCGCGCTCTCCACGAGGAATGTTGATAAGAACATGTTTGCCTGGCGCCATCAAATCAAAACGCTCACCGTATACATTCTTCATATGGGGATCGCCAACGGCCGAACTCGTCGCCACCGTCCCTGGAAAGTGGGGACGAGGACGCGACTGGAGGTCGGGCTGCTGTCGGACTGGAAGTCGGGGACGAGGTTCGCGTTCGGACTGGAGGTCGGGCTGCTCGTCGGGCTGCCTCGTCGGGGCCGCAGTCGGGCGAAGGGTCGGACTGGACGGGGGGACGAGGTCGGACTGGAGGTCGGGCTGCTCGTCGGACTGGACGTCGGGGGACGCGGTTCGGACTGGAGTCGGGATTGCTCGTCGGGATTGCTCGTCCCGGCCGCAGTCGGCGAAGGCGTCGGAGGACGTCGGGGAAGAGTCGGACTGGAGGCCGGGCTGCTCGTCGGATGGACCTCGGGGACGCGTCGGACTGGAGGTCGGGCTGCTCGTCGGACTGCTCGTCGGGGCCGCAGTCGGCGAAGGCGTCGGACTGGACGTCGGGGACGAGGTCGGACTGGAGGTCGGGCTGCTCGTCGGACTAGACGTCGGGGACGCGGTCGGACTGGAGGTCGGGCTGCTCGTCGGACTGGACGTCGGTGACGCGGTCGGACTGGAGGTCGGGCTGCGCGGCTGTTGCGGGCTGCTCGCCCCCACTGGGGCGTTCGGAGGACGAGGTTCGGGATGAGGATCGGGGCCCCTCGTGGGTGCTGCTTGCAGTAGGACAATGGATAAGGCTTGGGGCGGAATGGTGCTCTGTAGAGGGCGTCGCGAGACCAAAACCTACTGCCACCCCTCCCACATCCATTCTGCAACCAACGCAAACGAAGATGGGTTCTTACGGCGAGTTCGCCTGTGAACGGTGAATGCGAACGTCTGCCGACTGGGCTGGGTATGCTGATAATCGCAAACCTGCGCCTGCCAGCCAGGGTGTTGACCAAAATTAGTGGTGCTCCGACCACGCTTTTCTCACCGTGAAGACGGCCACCTTTGGAACGGTACCAGCCAGCATAGTCAGTCGGGCCACAGCAGGAGCGTTGCATCCTGAGCATCGCAAGGAACGCTGAATCGCAGGAACGAGTATCGAGTGCCGCACCAGCCGTCGGAGTAGCGCTTGTTGACCAAAACCTGCTGGGTACCATAATTCGTTGACTGGCAGGACTGAACATAGGTATCCGCGAGTGGCCGCTCGACGGTTGTAGCCTGAGTCGGGCTTGCAGCCATCTGCATCAGGCAGGAGTCGAAGTCCTTTCCGTTTGCCCCTGAGACTGCCAAAAACGCGGTGGCGAGTTTCACTAGCATGCTCATCAACCCGATCCGAACTTGTACGAAATGAGGTCTGAAGGTATCAAGCTGTGTGTATAGTTTTCGGCATTTGCCTTGGACCGCAAACTTGATCCGAAAATGCCTTGAGCCAAAGTGGCTGCGGACAGAAGATCTCACTGATTTGGGTTGTGTCGTTTTCCCGCTTTCGATGGGTCCTTACGGCCGCAAGATCGCCCCAGAGTGAAGTCGGGCATGTCCCCATACAGGCGGATCTTGGGCGACACATTAAACATTCTCAAAAAATACTCCCAACATGTTTCAAACAGTACTGTGTTAAAACATGTCCCCTGACTTGTTTGACTATCATTGAACAGCCCCCCTGTAGAGGGACAGGCCCGACTCAATCCAAGAGGTACCCAAAGGGCCCAGAACGGAAGAGGGGGTGACGCGTTCTATCTGGGGCAGTCCCTCCGCAATAGGTTCGGTACGGGCGAAAGGGGGGGATAGCAAAAGGGGGGGTTTGAGAATCAGCTCACGGAGCTGATTTTCCCGGCGCCTCCCGGCGCGGGGAGGCGCCCATGTATCGAGGAATGGGCCCCTCGGTGGGGCCGAAACCAGCTGCACGCAGCAAATTTCGTAACCCCCCCTTTCCCAATCCCCCCCTTTCGCCCGGCCCGAATAGGGTGCGGACCGAGGTTTCGAAAGGGGTTGGAGCGTCCAAGACAGACCCAAAGGGCTCCGAGGCGGGTCCGGGGCAGGATGCCCTCCAACATCCGCCGACCCTTCGGCTTGCGCGACACGCTTTTCAGCCTGCGCCGTCGTCGTCGTCGTCGCCAGTTCCCTCTTGTTCAATAGCACAAACAAGCGGCGCGCGTCGCATACGGTTCACCTGCGCATCGCTCTGCTTCGCATACGGTCGCTGCCGACTGGTCGCTGGGCCTCCGGGCGCGTTCCGCGCCGGTGTCAGACCGGTGTTTAGGACGTCGTGTTGGGTTCTCCCACGGGGGGGGGGGGTCTAAAACTTCTCGTCTGGGAGGGTTGAGACCCCCTCCCTTTATTACGAAATCTGGAGTACTCCTCGTCTTCACTGCCGTATTCGCTCCCGCTCTCCCGTTCCTGCTGTCCCCCCGTCCTCCCGCTCCGCGCGCAGAGCGCAGAGCTAATAAAAAGGCCCACACAGCGTCCTAGCACCGGTCTAACACCGGCGCGGAACACGCCCGGAGGCCCACCGACCAGAGCCTGTTTTTTTGGATTCAGCCAAGTTTACTTGCATGGCGTTCGCCCCCCTCCCCCCCCTCGCCCCTCTTCAAGCGAATACTAGCGTGCAAGTGCCTTTCGACTTGCGTGATTTCCGCGCCCCCCACCCCCCAGGCTTGCTTCAGGCTCAGCCCCCCCCCCGTCCATGCAAGTAAACTTGCCAGAGTCTAGAAAAACAGGCTCCCAGTCAGCAGCGAAAAACAGGCTCCCAGTCAGCAGCGACGTCCAAAGAAGAGCAACCATATCAGAACAAGAATGCAGGGAGGACTGGAAGCAAGGAGAAGGAACTGAGGACGTGGTAGACAGCAATGCTAAACCGCGCGGTTGGAATCTGAAGACGCTGCACGCGTGTTCCCAACACGCCACCACGAAACCAGTATGAGAGAAACGCCCAGGGCATATTTAAGAACCAAGTTGTTGGGGCGGTGCGCCGAATTCGAGGGCTGCGGGGGACCCACTGGAACTCGTTTGATAAGGCCTTTTTGGGTACTCCAGATTTCGTAATAAAGGGAGGGGGGTCTCATTTCGGGGGGGGTCTCTTCCAGGGCATCTTGGAGGGCCTGGGGGGGTCTGGGGACGATGTTTTGGAGGGTTCTCCCACGGGGGGGGCCTAAAACTTCTCGTCTGGGAGGGTTGAGACCCCCTCCCTTTTATTACGAAATCTGGAGTAGCCTTTGACAAGAAAGCGAGCAACGTTGAAAGAATACAGATCCACAGCGGCGGGCTTGAAAAAGCCAAGAACACGGTAAGACACGCCAACACTATTAGGCGTGTTGTTGTATCGCTTTTAGCGCGTCACGAGCCCAAAGTACTCTTGTGGCCTTGCTGGGGCTCTGTCGGGGCCCCCTCTGGGGCCCTCTCGCCGCTCTCCGGGAGCCGGTCTGGAGCCCGATGAGCGCTCCTGTGGGCAGCCTTGCGGCCAGCGCGGCGCCAAGCACAGGTGGTTCTGCTACTCCAGATTTCGTAGTAAAAGGGAGGGGGTCTGGACCCTCCAAGACAAGCCATTTCAGACCCCCCCCCGTGAGAGAACCCTCCAAAACATCGTCCCCAGACCCCCCAGGCCCTCCAAGATAGCCTGGAGAGACCCCCCCCCCAGAAATGAGACCCCCCTCCCTTTATTACGAAATCTGGAGTAGGCTTTCGCGATTTGTTGAACGGTGCTGGGGGCGCTTTGGGGGTCCTCACGGGGGCATCTGTGCCAAACCGCTCCTCGGCAATAACATCGGCGTGTATGCCCCCCTTCTTGGCCTCGGCAGGTCAAGACAAGGCGAGGCGGTCTCCAAAATAGCCACCAAGGTGGGACGCGATGGTCCCACTGGGCTCGGGCATCTCCCTCCACAGGCAGATTTTCCTCGAAACATTAAAACATATTCAAAAAGAGCGAACACTGGTCAACAAATACTAGGAACATCTTCCCCATATTATGTTTTGACCATTTTTGGATGGTCCTCCTGTAAAGGGACGTGCCCGACCCAACACTGCGCATCCAAAAGGCCTCCAGATCTACTCGAACTCCTTTTGGAGGCCCAGTGTTAAGTCGGGCACGTCCCTCTACAGGAGGAGTATTCAGAAATAGTAAAAAATAGTCAGAGGGAGATGTTTCTAATATTTGTTTGATCAGTTTGGGTTATTTTGAATATTTCACATGTGTCGTTGAACATCGGCTGTAGGGGGACATGCCCGACCTAAGCTCCATGACCACCTCGGGCTAAGGTGGAAGGGCTCCCCAGGCTGGCTTGGAGAGGCCACCAGCTTCGAAGCACGGAAGGTCTTACTGATTTTTTCCTCGATTGCAAAAGTGTCCTGCGATGAACAGTTCCTGATATCGAAGTCAGTCAGCCTCGCTGTTCATAAACTACTGCGCAACTGAAACAACAAGAACACCTGCTGGAAAACAAGCTTAAACGTATGTTCCCTCTGCAATCGAGACCGTCGGGAGCCACTGCGAACCGTGTGCAGATACCGTAGATTCACAAATTCCACGCACCCAACCTCCGGCGTGCTCGCGTCGCTGTGGTCGTCCTCGCCTAGAAGACCTCCGACAGCAAACCCAGCTCGGCCTAAATGCTTGACGTACACGTTCAAATATGACATGCCGCCGTCCGTATGCCCACGAGCGACCTTCAGCTCTATCTTGCCCAAAGTAACCCACTTAGGAACCTCGACCTCGCTCTGCGATGCGCTGTAATGAAAACCTCCGACTTGTTCTGCCTCTGCCCAAGATCCGGTCACGTTCAAATCGTGGAAATATAGATCCGTGCACTGTTTACCCAATCGGCGTGCATCGGCCTGCACGCGAAGCAATGCTTTTTCAGCGCGCTCTCCACGAGGAATGTTGATAAGAACATGTTTGCCTGGCGCCATCAAATCAAAACGCTCACCGTATACATTCTTCATATGGGGATCGCCAACGGCCGAACTCGTCGCCACCGTCCCTGGGAAAGACGAGGACGGACTGGAGGTCGGGCTGCTCGTCGGACTGGACGTCGGGGACGCGGTCGGACTGGAGGTCGGGCTGCTCGTCGGGCTGCTCGTCGGGGCCGCAGTCGGCGAAGGCGTCGGACTGGACGTCGGGGACGAGGTCGGACTGGAGGTCGGGCTGCTCGTCGGACTGGACGTCGGGGACGCGGTCGGACTGGAGGTCGGGCTGCTCGTCGGACTGCTCGTCGGGGCCGCAGTCGGCGAAGGCGTCGGACTGGACGTCGGGGACGAGGTCGGACTGGAGGTCGGGCTGCTCGTCGGACTGGACGTCGGGGACGCGGTCGGACTGGAGGTCGGGCTGCTCGTCGGACTGCTCGTCGGGGCCGCAGTCGGCGAAGGCGTCGGACTGGACGTCGGGGACGAGGTCGGACTGGAGGTCGGGCTGCTCGTCGGACTAGACGTCGGGGACGCGGTCGGACTGGAGGTCGGGCTGCTCGTCGGACTGGACGTCGGTGACGCGGTCGGACTGGAGGTCGGGCTGCTTGTCGGGCTGCTCGTCGGACTGGGCGTCGGGGACGAGGTCGGGCTGCTCGTCGGGGCCGTCGTGGGTGCTGCAGTAGGACACTGGAACACCAGCGACGGTCTGGTGCTCTCGTCGAGGGCTTCGCGAGACCAAAAACTACTGCCCCCCGCCCACATCCATTCTGCAACCAACGCAAACGAGATGGTGTTCTTACCGGCGAGTTTCGCCTGTGGAACGGTGCATGCGAACGCCTGCCCGACTGGGCCTGGGTATGCCTGATAATCGCAAACCTGCTCCTGCCAGCCAGGGTGGTTGGACCAAATAGTGGTGCTTTCCGACCACGCGTTCTGCACCGTGAAGACGGCCACCTTTGGAAAGGTACCAGCAGCATAGTCAGTCGGCCACAGCAGGAGCGTTGCATCCTGAGCATCGCAAGGAACGCTGAATTGCAGGAACGAGTATCGAGTGCCGCACCAGCCGTCGGAGTAGCGCTTGTTGACCAAAACCTGCTGGGTACCATAATTCGTTGACTGGCAGGACTGAACATAGGTATCCGCGAGTGGCCGCTCGACGGTTGTAGCCTGAGTCGGGCTTGCAGCCATCTGCATCAGGCAGGAGTCGAAGTCCTTTCCGTTTGCCCCTGAGACTGCCAAAAACGCGGTGGCGAGTTTCACTAGCATGCTCATCAACCCGATCCGAACTTGTACGAAATGAGGTCTGAAGGTATCAAGCTGTGTGTATAGTTTTCGGCGTTTGCCTTGGACCGCAAACTTGATCCGAAAATGCCTTGAGCCAAAGTGGCTGCGGACGGAAGATCTCACTGATTTGGGTTGTGTCGTTTTCCCGCTTTCGATGGGTCCTTACGGCCGCAAGATCGCCCCAGAATGAAGTCGGGCATGTCCCCCTACAGGCGGATCTTGGGCGACACATTAAACATTCTCAAAAAATACTCCCAACATGTTTCAAACAGTACTGTGTTAAAACATGTCCCCTGACTTGTTTGACTATCGTTGAACAGCCCCCCTGTAGAGGGACAGGCCCGACTCAATCCAAGAGGTACCCAAAGGGCCCAGAACGGAAGAGGGGGTGACGCGTTCTATCTGGGGCAGTCCCTCCGCATAGGTCGGGTCGGGCGAAAGGGGGGGATAGCAAAGGGGGGGGGTGAGAATCAGCTCGCGTAGCTGATTTTCCTGGCGCCTCCCGGCGCCGGGAGGCGCCCATGTATCGAGGAATGGGCCCCTCGGTGGGGCCGAAACCAGCTGCACGCAGCAAATTTTGTAACCCCCCCTTTCCCAATCCCCCCCTTTCGCCCGGCCCGAATAGGGTGCGGACCGAGGTTTCGAAAGGGGTTGGAGCGTCCAAGACAGACCCAAAGGGCTCCGAGGCGGGTCCGGGGCAGGATGCCCTCCAACATCCGCCGACCCTTCGGCTTGCGCGACACGCTTTTCAGCCTGCGCCGTCGTCGTCGTCGTCGCCAGTTCCCTCTTGTTCAATAGCACAAACAAGCGGCGCGCGTGCCCTGGCTCTTGCACCAGGGAGCCGCGAAGGACAGGAGGCTCCTGCTCCCTTCCTTCAGGAGGGGCTTCCGAGCTGTAGAACACAGCGGGCAAGGCCAGGGGGGCGGCCAGGGGGAGAGCGAGGGGAGCTGGGGAGGGCTGGGTTGAGGAGTCCAGGGCAGGGACAGGACGGCCAGGGGGGAAGACGAACGGCGAACGAACGAACGAACGACGACGACGAAAACAAAGAAGCCCGAGCTCTCGGACACAGCTGTGCAAGAGAATGAACGTCGTAGCTGAATCGATGTCATTCCCTCTTTCCCTCCCTTCCCTGACGAGGGGCATGGGGGGCGCGGGAGGGGGCCCTGGTCAGAATGCCGCCCCCCCCGAGTTCTCGGCGGGTCTCCGGGGGGGTCGCCCGCGGGGGTCCCAGGGAAGGCCCCGCCTGTGGTGGTGGGGGGGAGCTCCCAATCAGAATGCCGCCTTCCCCCGGGGCCCCAGCGTTAGGTCGGGCATGTCCCGCTGCAGGCAGATTTTGGACGAAACATACAAGTACCCCCCCAAGTATTCCCAGAAAACTAAAAAATAGTTAAAACAGCGTCCCCAGATTTTTTGTTAGTATTCCCCCTGGACAGGCCCGACTTAGCCCCAGCGGGTCCCAGGGGGTGGGGGGGTGGTCCCGGGTCAGAATGCTGCAACCCCCCGGTGCCCCGGGGAATGAGCTGGTTTCGCCCCGCTGGTTTCGCTGGCGCTGGTTTCGCCGGCGCTAGTTTCGCTGGCGCTGGTTTCGCTGGCGCTGGTTTCGCCGGCGGCTGCTTTCGCCCGCGCTGGTTTCGCCGACACCGTCGTCGCCGTCGGCATTGCCGTTGGCGCCGCCGCCGCCGCCGCTATCGTCGTCGTCGTCGTCGTCGTCGTCGTCGTCGTCGTCGTCGTCGTCGCCGTCGTCGTCGTCGTCGTCGTCGTCGTCGTCGGGCGTCGGGCGTCGGGCGTCGGACCCGAGCAGACGAGTCGGACTGGGCGGGCGGACCCGAGCGGGCGAACCCCAACGGGCGGGTCGGGTCGGGCGGGCGGGACATCCAGAGTGCGGGGCGCGTTCGACCGAACACGCGCGAACCGTAACAGACGGGTCGGGCCGGACGGGCGGACCCTAGCGGGCCGGGTCGGGTCGGGTCGGGCGGGCGAAATCTAAAGGGCGCGGGCGGGTCGGGTCGAGCGGGGCATCAACATGTTGGGCACGCTCGACCACGCACGCGCGAACCGTAACGGGCGGGTCGGGTCGGGCGGGCGGACCCACGCGGGTCGGGTCGGGTCGGGCGGGCGGACCCTGACGGTCGGATCGGGTCGGGCGGGACATTAAACATGGGGGCGCGTTCCCGCGAACACGCGCGAGCCCTAACGGGGAGGTGTGGGTCGGGCGAGCGGACCTTGGCGGGCGGGTCGGGTCGGGTCGGGCAGGCGGACCTTAACGGGTGGGTCGGGTCGAGGGGTCGGGTCGGGTCGGGCGGGCGGACCCTGGCGGGCGGGTCGGGTCGGATCGGGCGAGCCTTTTGGAGGTCCAGTGTTAAGTCGTGTGCGTCCCTCAACCAGAGGACTATTCAAAAGCAGTCAAAACTTATAGCCGGAGTGCAGTATCCCCAAACAGGGCTTTTACCCCCCCGCGGTTTCCAAGGTCGACTGCGTCTCCGTATTCTTCGTTCAGACTCACTCCTACGCAAACGCACTCACTCTCAGGCGAAACGGGCCAAACCACCTCGCGAGCGACATCTTGGAGCTCAGTATTAGAAGAGTGTCTGAAACGAAACGGGCCAGACAACCTCTCGCACACGTTATGACAAGTCACGTCACACTCGCTTCCTGTTAGGTCCTCTCCTGCAACTCCCTTTCTTCTCCCTCCTCCTCCTCCTCCTCCTCCCCCTCCTCCTGCCTGCTCCCTCATCTACATCTTTCTTCTTCTCCTCCTCCTCCTCCTCCTCCTCCTCCTCCTCCTCCTCCTCCCCCTCCTCCTTCCCCCTTCCATATCCTGATCCTTCTTTTCCTCCTCCTCCTCCTCCTCCTCCTCCTCCTCCTCCTCCTCCTCCTCCTCCTCCTCCTCCTGAACGGCATCTCGGAGCCCAGAGTTGCGAGGATGTCTCCAGCGTAACGGGCTGGACCACCTCGCACGCGGCATCTCGGACCCCAGAGTTGCGACGATGTCTCGGGCGAAACGTGCTGCGAGGAAGTCTCAGGCGAAACGGGCAGGACCACCTCGAGCGCGGAGTCTCAGAGCTCCGAGTTGCGGAGGCCTCCTGGATCCTCCTGGGGCCTCCTGGGGACCTCCTGGGGACCTCCTGGTGTTTCCTCCTGGGCCTCCTGTGGCCTCCTGGACCCCACCCGGGGTTTCCTGAAGTCTCTTCGGGCCCCCAGGGGGGGACATCTAACATGTGGCCGTCTGGGCCCCCCCCACAATGGGGGGGGGCACAAAAGCAGACAAAAATCAACGAATCGACACCGGATGTGCATTAACTTCACACGTTCTGATAGAGTGCCTCCTGGGGCCTCCTAGGAGCCTCCTGGGAATCTCCCGGGGGCCCCTGGGGCCTGTCCCGGGCCCCTCTTGCGCGGCATCTCAGAACTCAGCGTTGCGAAGATGTCTCAGGCGAAACGCGCCGGACCACCTCGCGCACGGCATCTCAGAGCTCAGAGTTTGGAGGATATCTCAGGCGATACGGGCCGGACCACCTCTCGCGCGGCATCTGGGAGCTCAGTGAGTTTGGACGATGTCTCAGGCGAAACGGGCCGGACACCTCTCGCGCGGCATCTGGGAGCTCAGAGTTTCGAAGATGTCTCAGGCGAAGCGGGCCGGACAACCTCTTGCGCGGCATCTGGGAACTCAGAAATTGGAGGGTGTCTCACGCCAAACGCCCAATCCTGGGCAACTCAGAAACGGGAGTTGCGAGGATGTCTCAGGCGAAATGGCCCAGACCGCCTTTTTTTTCGAGGACGCCTCTGTTCGGAATTCCCTCGGCCGGAGTTAGCGTCTATCACAACAGCACCCCGTTCAGCAAGCAAGATGTCTTGCGCGGCCGCCAACTCTATTTCTGACGCCGCGGGTCGCACGAGCTCCAACAATGTGCTCTCGTTTGGGCTTTTCGCCAGAATGTCCCCCACGGTTGCGCCCCCTTCCGCATCGTGCCGCTCTTCCCCTGCCACATCGGCTTTTTCACGTGCACCATCCGCGTAGGTCGGCAATGCCTGAGCGATATCGGATGATGGCGCCGAGGTGCTACCCCCAACCGCAGAACGCAGCCACGGAGCATGGTCTGCTTCTCCCTCTACAGCGTCGCGCGCGAGCACATATCCCCCGCTGACCACGCGAGCAACGTATTTAGTAGACATCCATATAAAATGTTCCTGCGCACACGCCGCGGTTGTCGCCGAGCATCCATCTATGCCGCGACGCGGCTGTCATTACTTCCTGCACGTCCTTCGCTTCATACACCCACGCAAACGCGCCCTCATCACACAGCCACGTCTGAACCGATTGGAGATTTTGTCCCTCTATCGACTCGCGACTGCCACCCCCTGACGCCACGTCGCTGCTACACTCTGTCTCGAATCTTCCCAGTGCACGCCGGCGCCACCGCCCCCCGCGCAGGTTCGCACACGCGACTTGTAAACATGTATTAGCATGGCGACCAATGCTAGATGCGTCGCTTCCCAATACCACTGCCGACTCGCTCTCGCCACGCTGGACATGAACTGGCTGCGCGACCTCTGACCGCGATACCCACTCACCGAGAGGTGTTCTCCAAGCAACAGCACGCGTGTTCCGGCCGTGGGACCAATAAGCTGGGAGCGTTATGCTGTGCCGACGCTTCACGCCCACTCCTGGAAACCAGCTATGTGGGCGCAGCTTCGCGCACCCGACTCTCTGCGCCCGCACGTTGGATCCCTGGACTGCAGCACTGCGGGCACATATAGGAGTAGCTGGCCGCGCCGTGCCCAATAAGAACCTGCGCGTTCGCACCGTGGCATACAACGAAGGCATCGTCGTCTTCGTGTGTCCTCTGGACAACGACGGCAACGCCAATCGGAAAATTGGCGAGAGTTTCCCCTTGCAGCAAAGT